CATCCATCCATCCATCCATCCATCCATCATCCATCCATCCATCCATCCATCCATCCATCCATCCATCCATCCATCCATCATCCATCCATCCATCCATCCATCCATCCATCCATCCATCCATCCATCCATCCATCCATCCATCCATCGGTCCCACCATCCATCAGCAGTCCGTCCATCCATTTATCTGTTATCCATCTGTCCGTCCGTCCGTCCGTCCGTCCATCCATCCATCCATCAGTCCACCCTTATATTCATCCATCCACTCATTCTATGTTAGACATAATTAATATGTAACCATGTGTAATTATTATTTTCTTGTTTTGTATAAAATTTGGTTAAACCTTTCATTTTTAATTCAATAATCTTCACTTTCTTTAGGAGGAGTTTGTTTTGCCCTTAAAAAAGATGAAGGAAAAACACGTAAATGTTATCCAGCAGCTTGAACAAACTATTGAAGACCTCAGGACTAAGATTGCCGAACTCGAACGTCAGCCCCCTCTTCTGGAGGAGAAGGGTACAAGAACCATCACCTCCACGACTGACAGAGAATGTGGAGGAGAAGATGGCCTGTTGAGGGCTCTCCGTGATGCCCATCTGCAAACAGAGGCGGGACCCCTGCTGGGCTGTCAGGAGGTCAAGTCCGTACAGACCTCGCCAATGGATGACAGCTTTGGTTTCAAAGTGCCTTGTAGAGAGCAGGATGGAGGTTTTGAGAAGCCCCAATCCAAGCGTGATTGTGCATGTCAGCTGGATCCTTCGTCTGCACCTCCCCTGCCTCAAGGCGAAACTGCAACTCTTCACTCAGGCCTGACTATGGTCCCACCTCCACCTCCTCCTCCATTACCCCCAGGTCTAGATTCAACCCTTACATCTGGTTCAACTGGTCCTTCTGCTCCACCTCCACCACCTCTACCTGGAGGCGTGGCTCCACCCCCTCCTCCTCCTTTACCTGGTCTTCCAGGTCCTCCTCCGCCACCCCCTCCTCCACCTTTACCTGGACTTCCAGGTCCTCCCCCGCCACCCCCTCCTCCACCGTTACCAGGACTCCCTGGTCCCCCTCCACCTCCTCCTTTACCTGGACTTCCAGGTCCTCCCCCGCCACCCCCTCCTCCACCGTTACCAGGACTCCCTGGTCCGCCTCCACCTCCTCCTTTACCAGGTCTTCCAGGTCCTCCACCTCCACCTCCTCCTCCAGGCTGTGGGCCTCCTCCCCCTCCTCCACAAGGATTGGTTTGTTTCCCCCCAAGTCTTCCTGGAGCAATAGGTTCACTCCCCCCTCCGTTGCCCCTTGGTCTATATTCTCTGGCTTTAACTCAGGAGAAACCAGCCAGGAAAGCTGCAGTGGAGCCACCCAGGCCAATGAAGCCCCTCTATTGGACCAGGATCCAGCTCCAAACAAAGAGGTATTGATGCTGATCGGTATCAATAGTAATTATCTCTACTACTCCAATTAACTGAAATAAGCACCTCACTACTGCTAAACAGATTGAAAAACCTGTGGCTGTCACCACAGGTTAGCAGATGTGACTGTTTCAAACTCAGGTCACTTAAAACAGCTTAAATCACACCCTCTCTTAAAATTAATGTAAAAAATGAACTATTATATGCAACTAGAAAACAAAGACAAAACAATGCCATTAAAACGAAGCAGAAATTAGAATATAACCAGAAAACCAAATAACCTGCTTTCTCAGGGAACCAGAGTGGCAGTCTGTGTGTCTGGGACTTGAACTCAGAACCTACAAGACCCAAGCGCGATGCATAGGCCACCACTTATATACTAAAACAAAAAATAAAATAAACTGCAATATCCTTTATATACATCATACGGAACAGGATTAGGGCCACTGAAAAAAATTTAAAAAAGTTAACTGATTTTTACATTTTATTTCAGTAAAATGTAAAAATCAGAGTTTAAAGTCAGAATTGAGAGATTATAGCTTCCCTATAGCTGCCAGGACTATATGAAATGACACCATGGCTCGTGTTTAACTAAATGCTGTGTTTGTGGGAAAACAAGCTCACGGAAAATACATTCTGCAGAACAGGAAGGACATGCTCAACAAAATAAAAGCACTTAGCTCAATCCAGAAGTTATTGACTTTGTAAGACAAAAATCAACACAAAACCTATTGAATAGAACACCTTCCTTTTTGGCTTAATAAAATACAATATGGTTATTTACATTACCAAAAGATGAATATTAATTCCAGTCAGCAGCTCGGATTACCTAGTGGTAAGAGCATAGAGCTTTGAATCAAGAGGTTCTGAGTTCGAATCCCACTCCCACAGCCTGCCACTCTGGATCCCTGAGCAAAGACCCTTAACCCCACACTGCTCTTTGGGCGCCGCCAGAGATGGCAAAAGTACTCACTTTCCGTACTTGAGTAAAAGTACAGATACTTGTGTTAAAAAATACTCTGGTAAAAGTAGAAGTACTGAT